TATTAATGCCATACATATCGTCAAAGGCTTGTCGATAGGGAAGGCCTTTACTTAAGCCGATAGCAATCAAATAGAGACTAAACACAGAGTCCGTGCCATCAGTTATCACATAATGATTGGTGATGTCATTGCGCTGTAAATCATACAACAACTCAATTCTGCCCGATATATACAGATAGTTGTCATTGTGCTTGATCAATTGCCAAATTTCTGTGCCAAACGGATCATCTATTGCTTGAATATGTAGCCATTTATTACCTTCCTCAATCTATATCAATCAACAATTTTGAAACAATATTTAATAATGTAAAAGTAATTTTAAATTAAAATAAATAAAAAGCAAGATGCTATAAATACCATCATTTTGTGTATATCTGTGCCTTTCATGACCAGCACCTGTATATCACCGCTGGCCTCAGCTCTAATCAGCTCATCTATACAACCAATAGTATTCTCATCTGACACAGTGATCATCGAGTAAATTGACCCGGAATAAATTATATTTAAAATAAAGCACATCAATAACCAAGTGTATAAAACTAATTTAACGCTATCAGATTTGATCACACCAGGTACTGTATTCTGGTGTAGAATTGGTACAACAATCACCAATGGTATATCGTAAATAAGTTTTGTGCAAAACTTTCTAGATAATAAATATAATATTGACACTAAAACCAAAATGGACATTGTGATAAATGCCCATGTATAACAATCAAATGGTTGCAAAAAATTATTAAATTGTTTCCGTTTGGCCAATGGTGTAGTGAATGTGACGGCGTCTATAAGGTATGGGTATGTAAAGTCCACCACTGATTCTCTGTCGTCCATATTAAACATGCTCATCGCTAAATCAGCTTGCTACATTGTTTTAAAAAATAAACAGAAACATAGTTAATTGTATAATTCTAAATTATTGTCATGATTATTTATTTTGCCCCTGTTTGAAGTTTGCCCACAACACCGGTCCACGAATTGTTGGCTAATTTAAGTCCCCAATCGTTATGACAGTAGAGCACACGGTATGTGAAATTCCAGAGTCGGCTAATTGTCTGCAATATTTCCGCACAAATACCGCCACTAAATGAGTATTGATTGCGCGCAGAATTGTATTGAATAAATGTAAATGGATGATGCTACAATGTTTTATAATTATATTAAATACATTAATTATATTAAGTACATTATCTTATAAATTTTATTGTCATATAATATAACTAATATTTGTTTATAATCTATATTTAACCATAATTATATATTTTACCTCATTTGCGGCAACAGTTAATTCGGTGCCATTTAAATCAATCATAATGTTTATATTAAATAAAATTTTTAATTATGGTTTAATAATTTCATTAATTTGTAAGTTTATAAAACGTCTTTGTAAAATATTTTATTATTAATAAATTATTAAATTAATTATGCCTCTAATAATAATGAATAAATGCACTTGATGTTCATTATAAATTCTATTCAATGAGTACTTAAAGTACAAACTATATTTTATTTTTTATTAATTAAAATAAACTAGGTAATAATAGGAAACAATAGTACACCGACAATCATTTTCATGAATAGAAATGTTAAAGTTTTATATAAATTATTATTTAGTTACAGTTAACTTTTTTTATTTGTTTACCAGTTTGTTACAATTGGCAAATAGGTATAAATATTTAGAAACTTGTACAATATTAGCATGGTGCACTATTGATTGATTACTAATAAAATAAAATAAAATAACTAATTGATTTGTTACTGTTTATAGTTTTGTAAATTTGACAATCTATGACATTTATTTTACATATGTATCATAATAATAATAGTTTATTAACAACAAATACAACTACAATTATGTTACCTGTGTAGCAAAATACTATACTCAAACAATTGTATATAATGTACATTATTCACAATACGATAAATGTAAATAAATGTCAAAAATAAAAAATGATAAATAATAATACTTTAAACAAATTACTTTTACACATTTAGTTGATATAATAATTTATATTTATATTAATATTCATTATTATTTATATTTTACCTACTCAAATATACACGCACATTAATCAATAAAAAAACAAATAATTTAATAACCTAATTTTAAATCAATAATTTTAAATTCTATGCTAATTATTATAAAAATTTTAATAAAATATAATAATTAGAATTGCTAAAAAAATCTTGAAATGCTATCATTAGCAATTATTTTGTGTAAATAAACTAGGCAACTTTCTATTAGTTGTGCCAATTGTTTTAACATTAATTTGAAAATTATTAACTTTAATTTTAGGCTTAAAAAACACATTCATCAAATATTTAGCATAAATCTGGAGCAAAAAACTTGTAAAAACTATGTTGATAATTGTTTGGTCTCAAAAACACTTAACTCCTAGAAAACTTACAAGTTAGTAGTATTATAACATCATTTTTACTAGTAGTTTATTAACACTTTAACGTATTGCATTTTTTTGTGTAAATGTTTGTAAATTCAATTTTGAAAATAAATGTTACTTTTACCTGTTATCTTTTAAAACATTGATATCGTTGATCATACATGCGTTTACACACAAACACCGCAACCAATAATAAAGTAGCAAAAAATAACAAATTGTTCTTAATATGAATGGTTTGACTGCAAAATGCGTCCAAATCGTGGGCAACGATCTCATTGGTCAACGCGTATAGCATATCCACCGGACAGTCGGCCATACCGTCGCACTTGGGTAGAGTCAGGAGGTAGGGATCTGTTGCATCATGATTCACATCCTGGGTCTCATTAAAATAGTAAAACCTCGCAAAATAACCCTCACTAATAGCGCTGCCATGTGTTTGATGTAATTCAATAAACAGGGTGGCCCCGAATGGCACAATCTGGTCATTCCATACGTACAACGCGTTCATAAACGCCGCCAACTTTTTGTCGTGCGTCGAGTATACGTACAACTTATGGTTATATATCGTACGTGAGGTGCCGTTTATAGCGTGACGTACGTTATCCACGAGCTCCTGTACGAGTGGGCCGCCCCACGCCGTACGCAGTGTATCGCTCCGATATAGGGTGTTCCAGGAGTCGCGCACCAGTGGCCGTAGTTTATCCAGGATGCGTCGGTCGTCGCCCGCGGGCCACATACCCTTATCGGCCCACATATAGCCCCTGCGATTCTCGATGGACAGCGCGTCGAACAAGTGGGCGACCACTTTGATATCGGTGAAATCGTTGCCAATAATTTTACCCAGACTATACAGAAAATCTTTCTCCCTGTTCATTATGGCCATGGCCTGTTTTGACTTTAAATAGTCTAAGTTAACTCGATCAGCTTTGGGACAGTTATAGTGTGTTTGAAGTAATTTATCATCATCTTTGCGCTCTAGAGGGTAGGTATAGACTGGGAAGGGCTGCCACAAGGAGCCCAACTCTGCATCGTGCTTGAGATTCCACTTCCATCGGGCTGTTGTGGGCGGATAGGCGCCGGACAGTACCAATTGTATTGACTCCAAACACCGCGACTGCGCAGAACTACGTGCGTATATCTCGCGCGGCGAGTAATCCGTGCCAAGATATGTATCATAGTTTGCGCGTATATATGTGCCCACCCTGTACATACGATATTTACCTGCGGTGGTTAGCTCGCCGTCCCCTTCGGGCCATAATTTGTGGTCCTTATCGTTGGCCAATAGGAAGGGGTCGTTAGGGAGCCAATGAATGGGAGTCCTGTCTCCGTGTCTGTGGACTACTTGTAACAGTTTTAATGTTGTGATGTCGTGTCCCGACCACAGGTGCACAGTCTGAATGCATAGCAAATATAATATCCACAAAACCATTATGTCATTGATGCGCTGTAATTAATAATTATATAATGAATGTGTGGTGAAAATTACATTTATTTTATATGCTAAGGTCCTAAGCATTATTATTTTAAATATTGTTATATAAATTTAACACATAATACATAAATGTTTATTTACTTACATTTTACGTATGGTATTTACTTTATTTATAAAAATTATGCTAATAATTAAAATTTCAGATATTAAATGTCAGTTTTAATTAATGTTGTTATTTGATTAAATATACTGTATAAAGTTTTAGAGACATAATTTTAGTTGATATAATAATTAATGTAAATTAATGCACTATTATTATTATTTAATCTAGTCAAATACTGTATGCATGCACATTAATTAATAAACAACAAATAATTTAATAAATTTAAAATTCTATGCTAATTACTACAAGAATTTATATAAAATATAATAAATATAATGCCAATTTTTAAATGCTATCATTAGCGATTACTCTGTCTAAATAAACTAGGCAACTTTCTATTAGTTGTGCCAATTGTTTTAACATTAATTTAAAAATTATTAACTTTAATTTTAGGCTTAAAAAACACATTCATGAAATATTTAGCAAAAAACTTGTAACCATTAGTATACAAAGAAGCCAAACCACAGGCCGAGTAGAGTGGCCAGAAAGCACAGGTACTCATCGATCGACATTTTCCTGCTTATGGTGTACACAATGTTCGGTTCGGACAATATATCCAACCAAAGCCTAAAGCGATTATCACCAGGGCCGTTATAATGATCGGTAGAGTGCTCAACTGTATAATAATGTTTTACACATTCAACACGATCATCGCACTCCCGTTTGCATACCATATCAACGCTGGTTGTATTATAAAAATTAGTAAAATAAACGCTAAGATTGTTATTACCACGATTATCGGTGTCTACGTATAAAATACGAATAAGTAACTTTTAATTGTGCATAATATTACGCCTGATAATGCAATCGTGCAAGCATTTATTAAGCATGCGCTTGATACATGTCTTCTATTTGCAATTAGACATAAATATATAACAATCATTTTATAATATTTTGAATTTTAGTAATAAATCGATGATTTATAAAATATTTTAGTAAATTTAATAGAATTTTAATAATTTATTGTGAAATTTTAAAAAATGACATTCTATAGTCCTCTTTGACAGCTTTAGAGGACAGGGGACACAAAGTTCAATTGGAGAACAATCTTCTGTAATAGAGAACAGGTGGTCACCCTAATGCCAATGCAATTATCTGTATTTTGTTATTTAATAAAATAAACTTTATTTTTAAATTTAAAATTAATATAATTATGTCTAATTAAGTCTAATTAATATAGTTTATACTTAGAGTGTTTTAAGTAATAAGAAATTTAATACGTCAAATGATTAACAGGAAAAATTAATTATAATTAAAAATTAAATTGTTAATCAAATAAAATGTCAAATTATCAATGAACAATTTGTTTGCCACTATTAATATGTTAAACATTATTAATAATACGTCCGTTTTCTCGCACACAGCGCTCGGCGGTGAGCCCGTCGTCGCACACCCGGAGCCCCATCGCCCGCAACGGTTGCCCAAAGCGCTGGTCAAACAGTGCCGACTGTGTGTCAGTCATGTGTGCCCTCCAGTCGCCAATTATACCCGACCGTAAAAATTGTTGCCCGGGTTTACCAAAACGAGTGATCAGATCAGACTTATTGGCCGCCGGATTGTCGCGCATAGTCTTCAGCGAACAGTGGGTCGTAATGTTGGCCACCGTTTCGGCCGTAAACTGTTTGCCGAGAAAGCGGGCGATTGTGGCGATCATTGCCGCCGAGTCTGCGATCAACTCCTCGTACGCNCTCTCTCTCTCTCTCTCTCTCTCTCTCTCTCTCTCTCTCTCTAAAATACCTTTCCCTCTTTGCCCTCAAAACGTGGTAAATATTTGAGTGGCAAATGATTGATAGTAATTCTCGGGTCAGGTATTTCTTCAAACCATTTATAATTGCGAATAGAATTGATTGAAATTATAATGTTGGGCACCCTATCAGATATGAGCCGATCGCGCACTCTATCGACCACTCCGTCGTCCATTATTAGGGACACAATCTCTGAGAGCCAAGTGGTGCCCGACTTTGGGTAACCACAGATCCAGATGTCTGTCGGCCTAACAGTGGTGTCCTTTACTGTATTAAGCCATTCAATACAACCAGGTCTATTTGGAAATATTAGACCATCGTGTTCAATCAAATCACGTATAGTTTTTACGCCCTCAACATATTTAGCCCGGCGTTCAATTTGCTCGCTTGTCATCGGTTTTGAATTCATAATTAATGCTCACAATTATTATAATTAGCTTTACTATTAATAAATTGGAAAAATTTGTAATCTTTGTAATACTTTTACGAATAAAAGTCTGTAAATGTTTTAAATCTGTAAAACATTGCCTAAAAGTAAATGATTTACCTATACGTATTTATTGCTGTCTCATTATTAATGTCTCAATGATGATACGCTTATAATGATCTATCCGATTATTCCATAGTAACAAGTAAGATACTGGCCAAATTCATCTAGCTGTAAAAGTATATTCCCTATTTAGTTTAAAAGCGTATTGTCATTCACTCATTTACACAATGAGACAACAACTCAAATAACTAAATTTAAATTAATAATTTGGAATTTCAATGCTAGTTATCATAAAGATTTATATAAAATATAATATTGATAATTAGAAATTCCAAGACATTTTCAATACTATCATTAGCGATTATTTTGTGCAAATAAACTATCTTTTAGTTTTGCCTATTGTTTTAACATTAATTTGAAAATTATTAATTTTAATTTTAGGCTTAAAAAAACACATGCATTAAATATTTAGCATAAATCTGCCGCAAAAAACGGGATCCGGACACTTGTTCGAAAGACATTTGTTCGAAAGACACTTGTTCGAAAAACAGTTGTTCGAAAGATACTTGTTCGAAAGACATTTGTTCGAAGACACTTGTTCGAAAGACACTTGTTCGAAAAACAGTTGTTCAAAAGACACTTGTTCGAAAGACATTTGTTCGAAGACACTTGTTC